ACAACAGCGAGGAAAGCCTCATCCCAAAATTTAAGTGGCATAGAGGCTGCAGCAAGGATGGCCAGTCCTACTTCAATGATGTGTCTATGTTTGCATTCAGCAGACCCATTTGTTGATGGGCATGAGGACATGAGACATGTGAGAGACACCAATGTTCTGAAAAAAAGAATTCAATTTTTCATATTCACCACCCCAGTCTGACTGGACGACAATGATTTTGCTGTCAAACTTACGTTCAATAAGAGCTTGAAAGTTATGAAAAACTTGAAACACATCCGAACGCTTTTTGATAAGATAGATCCATGTGTATTTGCTAAAATCATCAATGAAGCTAACATAGTAGGAGTGTCTACCAACAGAAGTGGGTGTTGGACCCCATACATCAGGAAAAAATAAGCTGCAAAGGCTTAGTTGACACGCTAGTGGATATAGGATACAGTAATTGATGACGTTTTGCTCTTTGGCATGAATCACAAATAGTTTCTAAAATTCTCTCACCAACAACTGGGAGTTTATTTTTACTAAGGATTTGATGGACAGTAGCAAAAGATGGATGGCCTAAATGATTGTGCCGCCTTTCAGCGGAGAGCTTGATGGCACCATAGACTTGTTTATTTTATGAGCAATACTTGGGAAGCAATGCATGGAGACCTTCCACACAGACACCCCTATGGAGAATTTGCTTCATGACCTGATCCTTGATCAAAAAGAAGAACGGGTGAAACTCTAAAAACACAGTGTTGTCAAGAGCAATACGATGGACAGATAGCAAGGTTTTAGAAGCATTGGGAACATGCAAGATATCATTTATCTCAATATTTTTGTATGGGGTTTTGATATGTGAATGACCGGTGTGACTTATCTCCATACCTGCACCATTTGCCGCGGTATAGACTTGATCATTGCCATGGTACTTCAATTCACCCGTGATATGGTTGGCCGACCCGTTATCCATGTACCAATTGCTATCAACACCGTACATATCAGCTGCACCAACAAATCTTTTTCTTTTGGGAAGTATCATCTGCATAGCGCCAATCACAATCCTTAGCAAGATGACTAGTTTTTTTTTACAGTTTTGGCATTTACCCTCGTAGCCTTCATAGCCTTGGAAGTTGCACCCCCTATTGGAGTTCAGACGCTGACCACTGTTGTTGTTGGAGTTGCCCTAGTGATAGTAGTCGCCGCCACCACAACCACCAGGGTAGGCGCCGCAACCGCCGTTGTTGTTCTCGTGGTATCCAGCACCACCGTTGGGGTAGCCGGCAATGCCGCCACGTAGCCGCCGCCACCATATCTGCCGCCGCCATAGCCGCTGTAGCCACCGCCACCAGATTCGTTGCCCCCATAGCCGCCATTGCCACGGGGACCACCGCCGTTGCCCTTCTGGTTTTGGTTGCCGCGGTAGCCGCCTTTGTTGCCTCCCTATCGGCCGCCACTGAGAGAGATGGCGTTTGCTGAGGATTTGAAGCCGCCTGCTCCATTGCCATGGAACATCTCAACCCTCTGGTCGAAGTTGGCCACGAGAGAGAAAAGAGTGTCGACGGTGATGTGCTCAGTGCGAACATCCAGCGCAGAAACGATGGGCTGATGCTCCATGTCAAGATCGGTGATGATGAAGGAGATGAGCTCGCCCTCACCGAGCGGTTTGCCTGCTGCCGCAAGCTCGTCGGGGAGAGATCGCATGTGCCCAAAGTAGGTTGTGGTCGACTGGGACCCCTTCTGTGAATTGGTGAGGGCAGCTCGTATGTTGTTGACGCACGACAAGGATACAACAGAAAACATGTTTCCCAATGCATCCCAGATCGCATGAGATTTCTCAAGGGTGGCGACTTGGACGAGGACTTCTTTGGATAGGTTTCCGAGGAGGTAAGCAACTATTTTTTGATCTTGGATAAGCCATGGTGAGTAGGCAGGATTTGAGACAACATGTTCCTTCCCTTCGGCGTTTTTGGTGATGATGGTTTTTGGAGGTTCTTGGCTGGTTTGATCGATATAGCCATAGAGACCAACGCCCATGATCTGGGATCTGGCCTGAGCACGCCATATGACATAATTGTTGCGGGTGAGTGGCTCGGAGGTGTTATTGTTTAGGCCAGAGAAGATGGTTGAGCTAGAGGTGGACATGGTGGCTGAGGTGTTCGATGGAAGCTAGGGTTTTGGCGAGGTGGAGGTGAGATCGTCGGGAGGAAGATGAGGCGAGCTAGACGAGATGGAAGAGTCCCGCTCCGTATACCGTGTTGGATAATGGGTAAAGCGTCTCAATCACCCTTTGTATTAACTAAAGAAGCTTGTGATATTATTTTCATTAGCACAGTGCAAATCAAACCAAAAATATAGACATGCTCGCCCTTTGTAAAGAACTACTATTACTATATATGCTCTACTTTGTACAAAATCATATGTATATTATTCTTGCCCCTAAATTGTTGCTTTGTGCCGAACCACTATTACTATATTATGCTTTGATCTGAGTTTTGGTGCTTAAATCAAGTATTTATGGAGACCATGCCCTTATGCAAGTCTTCAGGCCTTGCTGGGTTGTTTTATTGTTGTGAATGCATCATCATGGGTGATTGTAGTTACATTGCCTCCTTCACACTTACATCCACCTTCAATCAGGTAGACACTTCCTTTTCCACATAAAATCAAGTGAATGTTGTACTCCCAAACCAATTAGCACGTTTAGGTTTGATAGATACCGTGCATTGATCCCTCCACTTTTGAATTTTTTTATTAATGTCATCTCCGATTTACTCCCGTTCTCATTTTTTGTGCTTCTTGGATCTGGCAGCTCCATGGACACATGGAAACCTATCATCATGTTTAAGGACTAAGTGTGGAGTTACTTGTGCAAGTTACACCGTCAGCAAACACATGAAGACCTGCATGCTATCATCGCAAGTTGAGCATTTACGTGCTCTAAGTTAATCTGTTAGGGAGAAAACAAAGCCTTGTGTGCCCATTAGTAATTTTTTGTGTTTATCATAGTGGGCACCTTACCTATCTGTAACATGTGACCTGTGCAACTGCAAAGGTGTTGGGCGATAAAAATTCTGTGTAACACATGTTCTTATACACTTTGCCTATGCTTAGTATAGAAACTATGCATAGTTGTTACTCTCTTTTTTGTGGCCTTGTGTAGTATATATTGTAAATAAATTATCATGAACTATTGAGCCTTTCACATACCGAACCTTTGCATTATTGCTTTCATCGTATAAACATATGAAATACAAAATGTTTCATACCAGGTTGGATATGGCCGGGGCGGGTGGGGTGCGACAAGCCGCACTTCCTATCTAGTTGGATAGGGTGGGAATCGAACCCACATGCCAACGTCTCCGCGACTCAGCGAGATAACCACTGGACCACGAAACCTGAGTTATCCACAATGAGAAAATAATGGTATTTAATACTTCTTTTTGGACAACATTAACACATTCTATACCCATATAAATCAATTGGAAAACAAAACATATATTTGCAATAAAATATTCACCAGCATTGAAAAAAAGTTGATGGAATTAATTTTTTTATTTGTTTTGAAAAAGGTTCATCAAATTTTAAAAAAAGTTCACGAATTTGAGTACAAGTTCATTAATTTCAAAATGGTTCAACGATTTTGAAGAAAAAAATCATAGATTTTGAATAAAAGTTCATCAATTTTGAAGAAAAGCTCACAAATCTGAAAAAAGTTCATTGATTTTAAAAAACATTCATAGATTTTGAATAAAAGTCCATCGATTTTGAATAAAAGTTCACACATTTTAAAAAACTTCATCGATTTAAAAAATGTTCATCAAATTTGAAAAAATAAATAACAATTTTTATTCTGGAAAATCAAATCGAGAATTTAAAATGTTCAAGTGCTGTAGTTTTTTCACAAATTATGAAAAAGTTCATAAAATTTTAAAAAATGTTCACAAATTTTAAAAGTTTATTAACTTTGAAAAAAGTTCATCGGATTTGGAAGAAATGTCACCAAATTTGAAAAAAAGTTCATCAATTTTTTAAAAAAGTTCAAAAATTTCAAAAAGAATTATTAACTTTGAAAAAAGTTCATCAGATTTGAAAGAAATGTCACCAAATTTGAGAAAAAAAGTTCATCAATTTGAAGCTTGATTTGAAAAAAACTTCACTGATTTCGAAAAACAATCGTCGAATTAGAAAAATTCCGTGAATTTTCAATAAAATAAAAATAAATAAGAAGAGAGTAAAAAAGGGAAGAAATAAAAAAGGGGAGACAGAACCATAATAGGAAAATGGATTGAGGCAGTCACAACTTGTGCGTTGTCCCGAGTAGCTCTTGTTTTTTGAGCAAAAAGAGTAGGTTGCAGGTTCAACTCACCGCGCGTGCGACTTTTTTTTGCATGATTTTAGAAAGAAAAACCCAGGGAATGGGCCGGCCTAGCACGGAGGGATGGGTGTGCGCCCGTTTGCGCGTATCAAGGAATGGGCGCTTAAGGCTACGTTTAGGAAATGCCAGTGACCGAAGGCCAGGAGGTTGGTGGGCCGCGGCTATAGGCGTGAAATAGGAGGAGCTCCCTGATAATGGATTTAGTGCTTTGCCGGCCTGACCCAGCGACAATTGGACTGCCTAACGTGTATCACCTGGCCCAAAGTCCAATCCCGACAACATACTATAAAATGGCTACGGCTTGACCTAGATTCCTCCCAAATCTCGCCGAGCCCTCTGCCGCCGCTTTTTTGCCTGCCTTGCACCGCCGCCGCCCCCTCTCCCTCTCTTCTAGATTTCTCCAGTCGATCTGCCTGTGTCCGTCTTTACCCACGCTTCTAGATCAACAGCTTCTGGTATCTTTCGGCGAGAACCTCCCTACCGCTAGGCCATCTGAAGATTCTGATAATTGGAGGCTTACAATATTTTTTGCGCAGGTAGTGTATTTTCCAATCTGCAGTATTGGTTAATGTTTTGCAGTAATCCGATATCTCAGCCTAATATTCATTCTCCGTCTTTCTTTTGAGATTCAGGTGACATTATGAGTCGTAGGTATTTGAATCTGATAGTGCACGACTTCAATAGTCGCATCTATTCGCTGTGCCGCATCGATGTCCGCAAGCACCTCTTCTACGAAGACTCTGAAATGGCACAACGAGCAGCACACCCCGCAGGAGAGAAGTTGAAGAACATTCGTGGAGTGTTGGCAGCGATGGGCGGCTGGAAAAGATTACCTCCGCCGGCAATAAATTTCCAGGCATCGCCCAGTATCGTAAACAAGACTTCGGTGCATTTGTTCGCTTTACTGGGAGGGGAGAGCAACATCCTTTACTCTGACAATAATTGTCAGACCACACTCTGCAACATTGACTTGAAAATCGTCGATCCCTTCGCTCCTCCCAATTCATGCAAGAGTGCAAATGCCATCAGTCTCCCCATAACCCAGGCCCATCTTGAACCTCCCTCATTGTACGTCTTGGATCTCCCCTCCACTCCCAGAACCGCTTGCTCCTTTGAGGTCCTCTCGCTCCGCGAGAACAAACCGGCTCTTCCTAGGGAATGGAGCTGGGAAATTCTGCCGCTGCCACCATTTTTCTGCAATCGAAAAATAGCCCCCGACTTGTATTCTTATGCTGTGGTTAATGGTTCTACCATATGCATTTCATCTCTGAATCAGACTATAGGCACCTACACCTTTGACACAGTGAGCAAGGAATGGAGCCAAGCTGCGCGCTGGGCACTGCCCTTCTTTGGCAAAGCTGAGTTTGTCCCTGAGCTCAACCTCTGGTTTGGCCTCTCAGCCTGCAACCCCTTCTCCAGCTTATGTGCTGTCGATCTCTCTGGAGTAGACTCTGGGCAGTCAGCAAAGTTGCAGCATACATGGGATTATCTTGATCTGCCTGAGGACGAGCCGTGGTTGCCATCCCAGCTGCACCTGTTCAACCTTGGCTTAGGCAAGTTTTGTGTTGCCACCTTCTTCGGGACCGAGTTGCGCACCTGTGATATGTCACCCTATTCTACAGATTCAGATTATGAGGACACATATGGAAGGGAGTTTGCTGTCTTCACCGGCCTGGAGGTGAAGCGCAGAAACGATGGTGAGGGTCCTCTCCAGTTGATCAGGCACATGTCCAAACGTTTCAGCATTGGAAGCCGTAACATCGAGTGTGTGCTCTAAAGAATATTTTGTTTGTCGCCTGGCTGGTGATCCTTGCACAGCCGCAGCAGCTCGAGGTTAATTACAACTAGTTATACTGTGAGCAAAGTTCAAAAAAGCGCTAGGCGCTAATTATGCGTTTGGGCACTTACTTGCGCTTTTCTAGCTTAGGCGTGATTAGGCGAAATTAGGCGCAATTAGGCGTTAGTACTGTAACGTGAAGAAATAAGCTAGATGGGCTGGGCTAGCCCACTAAACCATAGGCCCATCTTCATATCCTCCTACTAAAAGCTCTCGTCTGCTGCAGTCGATAGGAAATTTAGGTTTCCTCCTCACGCCGCCTCCCCCCCTCGTCCTTTCTGTCTCGTTGCACGAGGCTGCCTCCCTCCCTCTTCCTCTGTCCCTTGTCGGAGAAGCTCGATCCCTCGCCGGAGAAGCTCAATCCCTCCCCGGAGAAGCTCGATTTGTCGTCGGGGCAGTTGAATCCCTCGTCGGCGAGGATGAATCCTCGCAGGGGAGGTCGAATCCTCGCCGGGGAGACTGATTTCTCACCTCAGAAAGCTGATTCCTCGCCGGAGAGGCTGATTTCTCGCCGGAGGACCTCGCCGGCCGCTTTTTTGAGCGCCTAGGGCCAAAGCGAGGCGCTATGCCAACGCCCAGCGCTTAAGCGCGCCTAGGCGAGCGCCTAATAGCGCCTTCTTGAACAGTGACTGTGAGGTGTTATATCGGGTAACTCTAAGAGCTTGCTTATGTCTGCTTTATTTTACTGTAAGGTGTCTTTATCTCTGCTGGAAACCTTTGGGACTTGCTATGCAGATCAACGTGATACTATCTCTTATTTATATTTGTGAATCTCTCGTAACTAATTATAAACTTGTTAACAGTAAATGAATTATTAGCTTTGTAATAGATGTTAAATGGATTAACTGATGGAATTGCTTGATTCCAATTTGGATACTATCTCTGCTGGAAACATTTGGGACTTGCTATGCAGATCAAAATATTACTATCTCTTATTTATATTTGTGAATCTCCGGTAACTAATTATAACCTTCTTAACAGTAAATGAATTATTAGCTTTGTAATAGATGTTAAATGGATTAATTGATGGAATTGCTTGATACCAATTTGGATGCTCACATTCCTTATGTGCGTCCTATAGTTCCCTTCAATATATTGAATAGATGGAAATAAATTAAACTATGGCAAGAGTGGCAATTTACAACCTTGTGGTAGCCATTTAGCAATCAAATCACAGATGAAACCTCTAACTTCACGAATCAGCTAGGGAACTCAGAGAATACATACAAATATTCCTCCGTTCCATATTAACTTCCGATCAAATGGATTTATCTAACACTAAAATAGGTCTAGGTACGTCGTTTCAGCCACAGGTAATATGTGGTGGAGGGACTAAGAGCAACTCCAATGGGCGACCCATTTCGTCCGCGGCCGTCCGTTTGGGTCGGCGCGGACAAAAAAGCCGGCCCAATGCGCCGACCCAAACGGACGCACGTCCGCTTTCGTTCACCTGCCGACCCATTCCCGGCCCATTTTTGAGCCTGATTTGTGTCGGCGCGTGTCCGCGACGGACGCGCGCTCGCCCTCTTTCCTCACCGGGCCCGTTGGTTGGTGGCACGTTGAATTCACACCCTCGCTTGCTTGCTTCGTCGTCGACGCCGCCGGCCATTTTTTCAGATAAAAATCGTTACATAGATAGTTCTAGCGTACACAGATAAAAGAAAAGACCACTACTCGTTGCTTTCTGACTCCGACTCGGTAATGTCCTTCTTCGACGTCTGAATGTAGGCATCAGCATGCTGCTCGTCTTCAAAGTCCCAACCCGACATTTCTCGTAGCTTCAGTTTCAATTGAGCTGCCTGCTTTCGCGAACGCTTGTCCTCCCGATAGGCGGCTCGCTCCCTCCTCCTCGCGTCCCTCTCCAACCTCCTTTGCTTGTAGAACTGGCGCTCGTCGATGATGTCCTGCGGGAAGCGTTCGCGCCATAGCACCAAGGTTTTCACGTCCATCTCGACGCTGCCGCCTCCGGTGGACACGCGATCCTCGTCGGTGAAAAGCCGTGGGAGAGGCGCCAGATCCTGCGCTCGCTGGCTCGACATGTCGGGAAAATTCATATCTCGACGAGGCCTCAGGAGGCGCCATGCCGCCGCGTCGTGCGCGCGGGCTGCCGCCTCTGCGGTGTCGAAGGTGCCGAGGATGAGACGTTTCTCGCGAAACCAGATCTCGGAGGAGAAGGCGTTGGAGCGGCGCTCGTGGACTCCGCGGAAATCCGAAGCGCCCAGGCGGCGGATCAACATGGTGGCGTAGAGGCGGC